CTACTACTACTACTACTACTACTACTACTACTACTACTACTACTACTACTTGTTACCACGGCCCTCGTCGCCACGGCTTGATTCGCCCCGAAATTCTGGTCAGAACACACGCCGGAAGATGTCTTGGGAGTAGCGGTATCAGTACCTTTGGTTTCCCCAGGAGAGAGGAGGGAATAGAGGGAAAAAGGAAAACGACAGGAGCTTATAGATCGGACGAGGGAGGAGGAATATGAGAAGAAGGAGGGCGGGGAGGAAGTAGGAGGAGGAGAAGGAGGGGAGGAGAAGGAAGAAGGAGGAGGGAGGAGCATGACCAGGGATGGGGTGGTAAGCTCAGTGTCGTCCCAGGACCTGGCCCCTAGAGGTCCCCAGCGATCTCTGGAGGTCCCCACAGACTTCCAGAGGCCTCCAGAGGCCCGGAAAGGGCCGAAGCATCCAAAATCGTGGGTCCTCAGCCTGCGAGGAGGAGGAGGAGGAGGAGGAGGAGGGAAAAGGAGGAGCAGGGACGAGGAGCAGGAGGAGGAGGAGGAGAAGGAGGAACAGCTGCTGGGAGACGTCGCCCACAGGAAACCGTCGCGCCTGCTCGGTCACACCGAGTCCGAGGCGCCGAACTGGTGGTTGGGGCAGCAGGGGCAGCAGATGTGCGTATGTATGTGTACATATACAGCCAAGACGTTGAAATAAGGAACAGCTTGAGTTCGGAAGGGGCTCGATGATCCTTAGGCCCTTCCATGGCTCCTTCTCTAGCGATCCTCGTTCACGCAGGCGTTTCTGGGGCCAAAGCTGGGTTTCGTTCCTTGCTCAGCGTTCCTTGAATCAGCAGCCCAACTGTGCATACATATACATATATGTCGACGTACATGCACAACTGTAGATATACACATATGAATTGGTGTATATACATGCATACATTCATACATTCATATACATATGTATATACATATATATATATACATATATATGTATATATATATATATATATACATATATATATATATATATCGGTGGCGCCCCGTGGCACGACCCCCACCCCCTCTCTCCCCCCTTCCCGGGGGGGGTCGTACCGGGCGCACGGGGATCCTTCCCCTTGTGGTCGTGGGGCGGGGGGCCTCCTGTGGCAGCGGGCGTTGCTCCTGTGGTAGCGGAGGAGTTTGGGAGAATGCGGAGGAGCGCCGAGGAGCGCGATGGGGCGTCTCTTGAGGTGCGGGGGAAAGTCCCAGAGAGAGCTCCAGGGACCTCCAGAAACCTCCAGGGGCCTCCAGAGATCTCTGCATGAATGTCGTCGTCGTCGTCGTCCGTCGTCGTCCGTCGTCGTCGTCCTCACGTCGTCGCCATCGTCATCACGCCATCATCACGTCTTTGCCACGTCATCGTCACGTCGTCGTCACGTCGTCACGTAGTCGTCGCGTCGTCGTCGCGTCGTCACGTCGTCGTCACGTCGGTTTCACGTCGTAACTTACGTCGTCAAGCCGTCGTCGTCGTCGCCTCCGCCGCCGCCGACACCACCTACGCCGCCGCCGCCGCCGACGCCGCCGCTGTCGAAGGGCGCCCTCCAGCGCTCCCAAGCACCCTGGACGCGCGCACGCGCTCCCCGGCGGCTCCCACACGCTCCTGGACGCTCGAACCCCAGGGCATCCAGGGGAGGTCAGGCCGCACCAGCGGTGCTTCCCCGAGGGTTCCGTGCATCTCGGGGGTGTTACTACCGGCCAACACCGGCGGTGCCGGCGGTGCGTCTTTGGTGATTTCGCGCATCCGGGGGAGGGTGTTTCGCTCGGCACCGGGGACCGCCGACATGTGTATATATATATATATGTATATATATACATGCACATATATGCATGTCTATATATGACACGCTCATACCTACATACTTATATACATATGTGATGGTACATCTAAACGGTGATGCACAGAAACAAGTAAGCGTTCATGTACATGTGTGTACGTCTCTGCATTCATATCGAACTAGAGAGAGGCACATCTATATATAATCACCGGTACGAATATGTAGATGCATAATATGTATAGATAACCGCGCGCACACAGTCTGACCGACATGTTACACTTGGTATCGCGAGATGCATATACACATGTGCATGCACATGTGCTTATGCTTGAGCATCTCTATGATTGGCCGAAGAAGTAAGGGTGCCACCATTGTCTGATCATCGACTTTCTCTCTGGCGTCGTGACAAAGAATCAGGACGGCTGATTCGTCCCTTCGGATGGGCCTCCGGAGGCACGCTTCGGGCCTACAGACCATCCAAAAGCGGCCCGTTACCGTTACTTGTTCCCAGGGAATATACACCATGAAAAGTAAGCGATAAACAATACGCGTGTGTGTGTTTGTGCGATACACTGGGGTGGGCCTACCCCCTCCTGTCTCTCACCTCTACCCTTACACACGTGTCACACTTTTTTTCTGAACCCACTATCCATCCATCCCCGTATTATTTTCTTCACTCATTGCTCTTATCCCCTTCCCACCTCCCTCATTTCACTTCCCCATCTCGCCTCTGCCACCTCCGTCTCCCTCCCATCCTCCGTCATTCTCCCTCTCCTCTCAGACGGGAAGGAGGGAACGGATGTCGAGGGCTGTAGCGAGGATCCCATCCCTATCAGACGGAAGAGATAGTGCTCGTTACGCCCCGTCCGAGCAGCAGTGCGTGCATTGCGTGCGTTCTGCTACGCGTAATTCCTTTGCATTTTCTCTGCAAACAAGCCGCTGTGCAGCGGTTGGGGGGCCTAGACCTTCAAAGACGCTAATTTTGATTCCCTCCCTGTGGGGCTCTACGTCGTCCGTGCCCGGAGTCATGCCGTACTCCTCCCCCATCCCACAGCTCTGCCAAGACATCCAACAAGCTGCCCCTATCCCCCATGGGGCCACGCCTCCGTTTACCGCATCACTGTGGCCGTTGTGTTTAAGTCGGTTGGCTTGCGAGTGAAAAGGGATGAGTGCATGGCCACGTTCTAGTTTTGGCTGGGCGATGAGCTGGAGGCAGTGAGCGCGGTTTGTTGCTCGGACATCTGCATTGATGTCACTTGTTAACTTGGTGCTAGCTGGCATGGCCACTACCCCAGTCTCATCCATGTCTTTCGAACGGGCCAGTCGGTGCAGTGACACATTGCACATAACGCGTCGCTTAAATTATCGCTGTTTGGCAGCATTCGGCTAGTTATTAGGCTCCTTGCTGCAGCACCGCGCAGGGTATGGGAAAGCGTCGGTCCGCTTGAATTCACAACAAGGGAGGACGAAAATGAGCCGCAGATGTCCCAGTGCACATGTCTGAGGGTGACCTTACCTGTCGGTCGTGCCCCATGCACTAGGCTGGCGGGCGCGCTTCCGCCGCTATACACGTTCACCGTGATCGAACATGTTGGCACTGGCATGCCTTATTCAGGGGATCGAAACATCAACATAAAACTCGGAGGTCCGCGCGGACCTCCGAGTTGTTATGCTTATGTCATTGTTCGTTCCCCGATTATCAGCATTAGCATCTTCGGGAACGCAATACTGAACACAATACTCCTTGCAGGAGACACTGCAATGCCATATCCAGTGAGCTGGGCACACGGGACGCGGCCAGCCCGGGCGAGAGCTGGACACGCGGGTGGCCAGATCTTCTTTCCACCGCGCGGCCGTTCAGTGCGCAGGCCCTCCACGTGTGTAGCCAACCCGTTGCCCCCACACACGCTCCACATGCAAATCCCGCCGTGTTTGTTTCCAGCTTCTGGGTGCGAGACAGAACCACCGTCCTTCCGGATGCTCACAATCGCCGCCACCATCGCTGCCCACCTGCGCAAGGCGATGGAGAAGCCGCGGGCCTTGACAGAGGCGGGGGCGCAGACCATTCCTCGGCCACTGGTGGAACAGGGGGCGCAGACCTACATCAGCCGCGCCCTTAGCCGGAGGAGCAGGAGGAGAGCGGGCTCCCAGACCTCCAACGCACTCGAAGAAAAGCTGAGCCGAGGTGTTCTCCGCTCCCGGCCTCTGGAGGCCCTCGCCGGGCTCCGGGACCGCCCAGCAGCGGCCCAGGAGGAAAAAAACCAGCCGTGGGCAGAAGGTCGCGATGTCCGGCGGGCCCCTCCTCCTCCTCCTCCTCCTCCTCCTCCTCCTCCTCCTCCTCCTCCTCCTCCTCCTCCTCCTCCTCCTCCTCCTCCATCCTCCTCCTCCTCCTCCTCCTCCTCCTCCTCTCCTCCTCCTCAATCCTCCTCCTCCTCCTCCTCCTCCTCCTCCTCCTCCTCCTCCTCCTCCTCCTCCTCCTCCTCCTCCTCCTCCTCCTCCTCCTCCTCCTCCTCCTCCTCCTCCTCCTCCTGCCCCGCGCTGCGGCGGAGCTCCCCCTGGAGCCGCGGAGCGCGTGAGGGGCGTGCCGGAGTGAGTCAGGGAGCCGCACGCAGCACCGCGCTTCTGGGGCCTTCGGTGGCTCGAAATTCAACAGGTCGTTAGAGCTCTAGTATTTTTTCCCAACCATCCTGTGGTGTTGGGTCCTCGTTTTGAAGAGACGGTGGCCCGCGTCTCCTCTCCTCCTCTCCTCCTCCCCCTCCTCCTTGCGTTTCACCCACCCAGCACAGCGTTTCGTAGCCCCATAGGGAGCTCCACCGAAGGCCCCAGTGGCAGGTTCGCATGGCGGCCTCGGGCCATTTCGGCACACCCCTCACGAGGATCGTGGCCCCATAGGGAGCTCCACCGAAGGCTCCAGTGGCAGGGTTCGCATGGCGGCCTCGGGCCATTTCGGCACACCCCTCACGAGGATCGTGGCCCCATAGGGAGCTCTAGTATTTGTTTCCCCCATCTTCGATCTTATTGCCGCTCGCCATCTTAATCTCAGCTCGATCGGGTACCTAGTACTGCCAAAAAACATCCAGGCGGGATCGGCTGTTCGGGTCATCTTGAGAGATGCTGTCGGTTTTCTGAACGTGCGAGGGGTGTGCCGCCATGGGCGGGGGAATCGCGTGCAACACCACGCTGTTAGGGCCTTCGGTAGAGCTCCCTGTGGGGCCGCGAAACGTGTAAGGGATGTGCCTACATGGGCGGGGGAACCGCATGCAACACCACGCTGTTAGGGCCTTCGGTGGAGCTCCCTGTGGAGCCACGAAACGTGCGAGGGGTGGGCCGACATGGGTGGGGAACCGCATGCAGTACCACGTTGTTGGGGCCTTCGGTAGAGCTCCCTGTGGGGCCGCGAAACGTGTAAGGGATGTGCCTACATGAGTTGGGAACCGCATGCAACGCCACGCTGTTTGGGCCGTCGGTGGAGCTCCCTGTGAGGCCACAAAACGTGTGAGCGGTGTGTCGACATGGGTGGGGAACCGGATCCAGAACCACGTTGTCGACGCCTTCTGTGGAGCTCCAATGTGAAGCCACGAAACGTGTGAGTGTCGTGCCGGAGTCGGCGGGGTAAGCGCATGCAACACCACGCTTCTGGGGCCGTCGGCGGAGCTCCCTGTGGGGCCACGAGACGTGCGAGGAGTGTCCCGAAATGGGTTGGGGAACCGCATGCAACACTATGATGTTGGGGCCTTCGGTGGAGCCCCCTGTGAGGCCACGAAACGTGTGAAGGGTGTGCCGAAATGGGCGGGGAACAGGATCCAGAACCACGTTGTCGAGGCCTTCGGTGGAGCTCCCTATGGGGCCACGAAACGTGTCAGGGGTGGGCCGACATGGGTGGAGAACCACATGCAGCACCACCTTGGTGGCCTTCGGTGGAGCGCCCTCTGGAGCCGCGAAACGTGTCAGGGGTGTGCCAACATGGGTGGAGAAATCGCATGCAGCACCACGCTTCTGGGGCCGTCTGTGGGGCTCCTTGTGGAGCCACGAAACGTCTGAGGGGTGTCCAGAAATGGGCGGGGAACCGCACGCAACACCACGCTGTCTGTTGGGGCCTTCGGTGGCGGTCCTTGTGGAGCCACGAAACGTGTGAGTGGCGTGCCGGAGTGGGCGGGGCAACCGCATGCAATACCACGCTTCTGGGGCCATCGGTGGAGCACCCTCTGGGGCCACGAAACGTGCGAGGAGTGTAACGACATGGACGGGGAACCGCATTCAACACAACGCTGTTGGGGCTTTCGGTGGAGCACCCTGTGGAGCCACGAAAAGTTTGAGGGGTGTCCAGAAATGGGCGGGGAAAGCGCATGCAACACCACTCTGTTTGGGCCTTCGGTGGAGCTCGCTGTGAGCCGCGAATCGTGTGAGAGGTTTGCCGAAATGGGTGAGGAACTGAATGCAAAACCCAGTTGTTGTGGCCTTCGGTGGAGCCCCCTGTGAGGACACGAAACGTGTGAGGGGTGTGCGGACATGCGTGAGGAACCGGATCCAGAGACACGTTGGCGAGGCTTTCGGTGGAGCTCCATGTGGAGCCATGAAACGTGTGAGTGATGTGCTGGAGTGGGCGGGGTAAGCGCATGCAACACCACGCTTCTGGGGCCGTCGGCGGAGCTCCCTGTGGGGCCACGAGACGTGCGAGGAGGTCCCGAAATGGGTTGGGGAACCGCATGCAACACTATGATGTTGGGGCCTTCGGTGGAGCCCCCTGTGAGGCCACGAAACGTGTGAGGGGTGTGCCGACATGGGCGGGGAACCGGATCCAGAACCACGTTGTCGAGGCTTTCGGTGGAGCTTCGTGTGGAGCCATGAATCGTGTGAGTGGTGTGCCGAAGAGGGCGGGGTAAGCGCATGCAACACCACGCTTCTGGGGCCGTCGGCGGAGCTCCTTGTGGGGCCGCGAAACGTGCAAGGAGTGTCCCGAAGTGGGCGGGGGAACCGCATGCAACACAACGTGGTTGGGGCCTTCGGTGGAACTCTCTATGGGGCCACGAAACGTGTGAGGGGTGGGCCGACATGGGTGGGGAACCACATTTAGCACCACGTTGGTGGGGCCTTCGGTGGAGCGCCCTCTGGGGCCACGAAACGTTTGAGGCGTGTCCCGAAGCAGGTGGGGAACCGCATGCAACACCACGCTGTTGGGGCCTTCGGTGGAGCTTCCGATGGGGCCACAAAACGTGTAAGAGGCTTGTCGACATGAGTGGGAAACCGCATGCAGCACCACGCTGTTGGAGCCGTCGATGGAGCTCCTTGTGGGGCCACAAAACGTATGAGGGCTGTGCCGACATGGGTGGAGAATTCGCATGCAACACAACGCTGTTGGGGCCTTCGATGGAGCTCCCTGTGGAGCCACGAAACACGTGAGGGGTGTGCTGAAATGGTCGGAGAATCGCATGCAACACCACCCTGGTGGGGCCTTCGGTGGAGAGCCCTTCGGGGCCACGAGACGTATGCAACACCACGTTGTTGGGCTCTCGGTGGAGCTCCCTGTAGGGCCACAAGACGTGTGAAGGGTGTGCCGGCATGGGTGGGGAATTGCATGGACGGTTGTGGTTAATGGCGAAACGAAAATTTAAATTGTGAAATAGAAATTTAAAAGGTGAAATAAACACTACGTAAATACACTATGTAAATACACTACGTAAATACACTGCGTAGACGCATTACGTACGTAAGCACGTTACGTCCGCACACTACGTGTGTGACCAGGGAGGTCTCGTCACAGTGCGCCCCAGCGGCTGGCGCGGCCCTGCGAAGTCCGGACGACGAGGGCATTCTGCGTAGTGTTTTTGCGAAGTGTTTTCAGGAACGCCCCGAGTCGGCAACGCTGCTACGCGGGAAGCAACACTCCCGAACCGCTACGCAGCATCATGCCGCGTCGCCCGCGTTTCTCGCCACTTTCGCCCGAGGCCGCGGGCAGTTGCGGATTCGGGCGGAACTGGCGCGAGACACGGGCGAGGAGGGCATTATGCCTAGTGCTTTTTTCGTAGTGTTTCCATGAGCGCCCCGAGTCGGCACGCAACCACGCAGCAAATAACGACGCCCAAACCCCGCGTCGCCCGCGTTTCACGTCACGTTCGCCCGAGGCCGCGAGGAGCCGCGGTTTCGAGCGGAATTGGCGCGAGACGCGGGCGACGAGGGCATTCTGCGTAGTGTTTTTGCGTAGTGTTTTCAGGAGCGCTCCGAGTCGGCAACGCTGCTACGCGGGAAGCAACACTCCCGAAACGCTACGCAGCAGCATGCCGCGTCGCCCGCGTTTCTCGTCACCGTTGGCCGAGGCGGCGGAGAGTTGCGGATTCGAGCGGAACTGGCGCGAGATGCGGGCAACGAGGGCATTCTGCGTAGTGTTTTTTTGTTTCACGCAGTGTTTTCAGGAGCGCCGCGGGACGCGGGCGCCGAGGGCATTCTGCGTAGTGTTTTTGACGTAGTGTGTCCAGGATCGCCCCGAGTCGGCCCGCCACCACGCAGCCAATAACGACGCCCAAACCCCGCGTCACCCGCGTTCCACGTCGCGTTCGCCCGAGGCCGCGAGGAGCACCGGCTTCGCAAATACACTACGCAAATACCACGCAAATACACTTCGCAGATACACTACGCAGATACATTACGCAAAATCATGTTCATTCCCGAGACACGATGCCAATACATTACGCGCCTACGTAGGCGTCCACGCCGAAACACGTCGCGAAACAATGCGCCGAAACGCCACGCCGACCGGCACGCCGAAGCACTGCGCAGAAACATTGCGCAGGAACACAACGCAGAAGCATTACGCAAACACATGACGTGAAAGCACACCGCAAGAACACGACGCAAGAATTTTACGCGAAGAAATCACGCAATAAACACGACGCAAGAAACATTGCGCGATAAACACTACGCGAAAACATTGCGTAAAAGTACGACGTAAAAACAGTACGCAAACACACTGTGCAAATACAATACGGAAATACAGTACGCAAATGCACTACGCAAATACATTACGAAATACAATCTACGCAAATACACTACGCAATTGCATTACGCAAATACACTACGCAAATACACTACGCAAACACACTACGCAGATACACTACGCAGATACACTACGCAAAAATCACGTTCATTACCGAAACACGATGCCAATACATTACGCGCCTACGTGGTCATCCACGCCGAAACACGTCGCGAAACAACACGCCGAAACGCCACGCCGAACGGCACGCCGAAGCACTGCGCAGAAACATTGCGCAGGAACACAACGCAGAAACAACACGCAAACACGTTACGTGAAAGCACACCGCAAGATTACGACGCAAGAAACCCTACGCGAAAACATCACGCAAGAAACACTACGCAGGAAGCATTACGCGAGAAACACTGCGCAAAAACATTGCGCAAAAACACGACGAAAAAACATTACGCAGACACACTACGCAAACACGTTGCGCGAAGACACTACGCAAATACACTTCGCTAATACATTACGAAATACACTACGCAAATACACTACGCAGATTTATTCCACCCTTTAAGCATAGCTTTCAATTGCATGCAACACCACGCTTCTGGGGCCGTCGGTGGAATTCCCCATGGGGCCAGGAAATATTTTGGGGGTGTGCCGACATGGGTGGGAACCGAATGCAACACTATGCTGTCGGGGCCTTCGGTGGAGCTCCCCGTGGGGCCACGAAGGTGCCGACATATGCGCGGAGGGCAAAGTCAGGGTTGGGAGGAGCGAGGAAGAGGAGGAGGAGGAGGAGGAGGAGGAGGAGCAGAAGGAGGAGGAGGAGTGAGGCAAGGCGAGGCGAGGCGATGCGAAGCGAGGCGAGACGAGTCGAGGAGAGGCCAGGCCAGGCGGGACGCGGGGAGGTGAGGCGAGGTGAGGCGTGTTGAGGCGAGGCGAGGCGAGGCGAGTTCAGGTGAGGTGGGTGACACGGGGCGCTGTCCCTTCAAAACGAGGACCCAACACCACGGGATGGTTGGGAATCACAATGTCGGAGTATCCAGGGAGGAGAGTCAGAGGAGCCATGAGTCATGGGTCATGCCAAGGATACGCCGCAGGATGGCGAGGCTGCCCTGCTGCTCCGCGCGCACATCAGAGACGAGGGCCGCTAATTACTCCAGGATCCCTGGGGCGCACCCGGAGCCAATCGCATGACTTGGCATCGCTCGGACGTTTGCATTGTTTCTCGGTGAGGACCGTCGAGGAGCATCCTGGATCATCGAGCCAAAAAAGCACGCACGAGATCGAAACATGCACGGGGAATAGACGTCCGAGCGACGGCAGGATGATGACGTCACCCTCTTCCTGAAACGGACGAAAATTGTATGGTCACATGCTCTGGTCCTGGATGCTCTGGCCCTGGAGTGTCTGGATTGTTGCTCCTGTCCTTCCTCCTCCTCCTCCTCCACCTCCTCCTCCTCCTCATCATCATCATCATCCGTAGCCATTTTTTGGCTCAAGGCGCGGCCCAGTTGGATAGTCACATTATTTTCCCTGATTCTTCCCCTGCTCCCCATGGCGTTACCAGTTGTGCAACTTGCGGCCTCTGCCTTGCCACATACGATCACAGAGGAGTTGCACGGCCTGTTGATGCGAGAGGTGGCGCATGAGGTCGGGCATCATTTTGAAGGGCTCGATCAAGCAGCACGCGCGCTACATCAGCGAAAGCTTCTTTCCCCAGGATTGGTCAAGAAATTGGTTCGATTCGACAGCGCATACAATGTTACCCGCCACATGTCGACAGTCAAAGCCACGGCCTTCTTCCGCGCCATCATGAGCGACATCCGCAGCCGGTGTGATTCGGCGCCGAGCTGGTCGGATCCGGTGCTTCTCTTGCAGGCGCAATTGCTTCTTGGCGTTTCTGTTTTCCCGGTCCTCCAGGAAGCCGCGGCTGCCTACCTGGAAGGGCATGGCACATTTTTCGTTGCTTTGGATCAAGGCGACGACAGCGACTACGAGCGCAACTTCTTCCCTGAGTCGGAGCTGGCCAACCTGGACACTGGCATCGGGGAGAAGGACGTGGATGACCAGGTCGGCATCATCACGACGAAGGTCGCCAGCTTCGACGTGGCCCTCGACGCAACCCAGGCCAAGTTGGAGAGGCTCGAGGCCAACATCGACGGGTCCACAGACGTCGTGGGCGTCTCCGACGGCGAGAGCGTGCACGGCGGTTTCTTCTTCAACCACCGGGGCTGGCCCACTGCAGCGGACGCGTACTCGGCATCGTGCCCTGTTGGCCCGGTAGGGGTCCTTGCACTGGCAGGTGTGGAGGCCATCGAGGACGCCGTCCCAGAAGTTGGCGAGGTGAATCCTAGAGAGACAGGCACCCCTGCTGAAAGTGTCCTTCCAGAGCCTGCGACGGAGGGCCTCCTTGGGTCAGCCGCCGCTGGGGATGCGGCACCGGCCTATGTACCGTTCGAGCAGGAGGAGGAAGGAGGAGGAAGGAGGAAGGAGGAAGGAGGAAGGAGGAAGGAGGAAGAGGAGGAGGAGGAGGAGGAGGCGGGGACTGATGTCGCTCCCGGACCAACGGAGAGACCGCCCGCCCGCCCTCCAACGGGGCGGCGGCTCCGCGTACAGAGCGCTCCTGCGGGGGAAGGAGCTGCGCCAGGGTTTGGCCCCTGGGCGGCAAACTCGCTGCGTTCCTCCCCTACTCGTCCCCCTGTCCTCCTCGGTCCCCTCCTCCTCCTTCTCCCTCCACTATCCCCTCCACCGATTCTCCTTCTCCTCCTCCTCCTCCTCCTCCTCCTCCTCCTCCTCCTCCTGCTCCTGGTTCTGCTCCTCCTCCTCCTCCTCCTCCTCCTCCTCCTCCTCCTCCTCCTCCTCCTCCTCCTCCTCCCCTCCTCCTCCTCCTCCTCCCCTCCTCCTCCTACTCCTACTCCTCTCCTACTCCTCCTCCTCCTCCTCCTCCTCCTCCTCCTCCTCCTCCTCCTTCTCCTCCTTCTCCTCCTCCTCCTCGCCATCTCCAGAGCAGTTCACGACTTTTGCGAGAATGCTGAATGTACATGCCCGACGACGTGCTAAGACAACTACAGGAGCGAACGACGCGTACTGAAAGTCACCACAGTCATCGTCATTAGATGTCCATTAGCATCTTCATCATCCGCCTCCTCCTCATCATCATATTACTCTTCCATCAGCAGCATCAGGATAACATCATCATCAGCATCATCATCAGCAGCAGCATCATCATCACCATCACCATAGTCACCATCATCACCACCATCACCATCATTATAATCAGCATCATTCTCAGCAGCATCATCAGCGTAATCAGCATCAGCAGCATCATCAGCAGCAGCATGTTTCCCCCTACCTTCCTCCCCATTCCTTCCCAGAGCTCGTTTCGACGGTTTGCGAAGTGAGAGGAAAGGACCTGGGACAGCAACGGGGTCCAGAATCCCTGCACTCTGCTGCCGCAACCAGGTCGAATCGCCGACCTGCTCGAGGAGGGAGCGGACACGAGCAAGGTGCCCGCCATTTCTTCTCTTCCTCCCTCCTCCTCCTCCTACTCCTCTACCGCCTCCTGCTCCACGTCTCCTCCTCCTCTTCGTCGTCTGCCTACGATCTGCGATCTTGTGGCTAATACCGGAGCCATGGATGCCCTCTGCCTCTCCAGCCCGTGCTGCGGGGACGGGTGGATAATCGGAACCAGTTTCCCGAACCAGCCCAACCAGCCAGCCCAATCAACCAACCGACCCAGCCAGCACCGTCCAACACCGCCAACCACACCAACCCGCCTGCCCCGCCGCCTACCTTCGGTCACCGAGGCCGTGGATGGAGTGCTTCTTGCTAGCGAAAGGACACGTCGCCCTCCTGGCGGGACGGCGGAAGGATAACGTTGGGAGTCAGGCTTCGCGCTGGGAGGGGGCCAAGAACGGTGTGGGCTCTCAAGTGCGACGCTGTCCAACCTTTGTCGCTCCCACTGCTGCCAGGTCCTCCACAGAAAAGCTCGGCCACGCGCAGAGGGCGGTAGGGGAGGGGTCCTCCTCCTCCTCCTCCTCCTCCTCCTCCTCCTCCTCCTCCTCCTCCTCCTCCTCCTCCTCCTCCTCCTCCTCCTCCTCCTCCTCCTCCTCCCCTACTTCTTAGGAGGCGCGGACCTTGTCTGCAGGTGCCGGCGCCTTCTACGAAGCAGCCTCCTTCTGAGAAGCCCTCCCCCACTACCCCCCCTCTGCGCGCCGCCAAAGAGCTCTTCTCCTCGAAGCCGTCGTCACTTCTTGCGCAGTTCCTGCGTGGGGCACCTCGGAGGGCCTGGCTGGACGGCCGGGGCAGGCCCGATTGCCCAGCAATGTGGGAGGCCTCACCTACGGGCAGACGCCCTCGGGACGTGAAGGTTATGACAGTGAGAAAAAAGCCTCCACACCGCCGTCACTTTTTCGGCCCCCCTTGGAGCTCATCAGGCCGCCAGTGGCTTCCTGGGCCACCACGGTGCCTGCAGCGGCTCCGAGCGCAACCAGGGTGGCGAAGGACGAGGAGGGGAAGGGAAACGCTCTTCATCGGCAGCGCGGGCGGACGCGGGCGCGGAGGTCCGTGCCGGCAAGACGCGCCGGGCGCGCGGCGCGCGGAGAGCAGCAGGAGACGGAAGCGGCTGCCGGGGAGGGAGAGGGCAGAGCCCGAGCACCGAGGACGGGCAGGGCCGGGGGCAACGCAGGCGGCCTCGTGCACCGAACGAGGTGCAGAGCAAGAGCAGCAGGCCAGCGAGGGCCTTTTGCCGACGAAGAGCGGAACGGCCAGGCGAAGGCGTGTTGCCCACGCCAGGCACCGGGGGCGGGGCCGCCCGGCGGGGCTCCGGGTGCAGGGGCCGCGTCGAGGGGGACACGGTGGCTCGGGCGCCCAGGCAGGTTGGGTGCCCGGCCAAAACATGTGCGAACGGGCGGGGAGCAAAAGCATGAAGGGGAGGATGGGGGAGGTGAGGAGAACAAGTAGGCGGGGGAGGAGGGAAAGGAGGAGGGGGGGGAAAGAGTCGTGATACCACGAGGAGCAGGGGGACGAGGAGAGGAGAAGGAGGAAGAGGCGGAGGGGAATGAGAGGGGCGCGAGGAGGAAGAACGGGAAGAGGAGGAGGAAAAGGGTGAGGATGAGGAACATGGAAAGAGGCGGAGAAGCAGCAGCTGCATCAGCAGAGAAAGGCGAAGGCGTGGGCGACGAAGAAGGAGGACGGCAGGATGAGGGAGGAGGAGGAGGAGGAGGAGGAGGAGGAGCAGCAGCAGGAAGGATAGGAGCAGGAATGAGAGAAAGAAGTTGAAGAAGAGGAGAGCAACAGAAGGAGGGCGAGAAGAAGGAGGAGAAGCGGGATAGGAGATGGACGGGGATAAGGAGAAAAGCCAACAGGAGGGGCAAGGAACAGGGAACCGGGGAAGACTACGAGAATGACGATGAGCATCATCTACAGTACGAGCGAGGAAAGATGGGGAAAACCAGACGACTGGGAGGATAGCAGGGAGGACAAGGAGGAGAAGCAGCAGCAGTGCAACAAAAACAGCAATGAGGAGAAAACATAATGAGGAGTACGAGGGAGAATTGAAGGATAATGATTGGGAGGAGGAGGAGGAGGAGGAGGACGAGGAGGAGGAGGACGAGGAGGAGGAGGATCAGGGCGAGGCAGGGCTAAACAAACACATGTGATGAGGGAAGAGCGCTTGTGGACGAGAACAGAGTAGAGTCATAGGAAGGGGAACGGAGGAGTAGAGCATACCGAGCAGAAGGGGGGGCAAGAGGACAACGAGACGCAGGAGGAGGAGGAAGAGGAGGAAGAGGAGGAGGGGAATATAGATATGTGTGTGAACATATGTATGTATATATATATATACACATACATACATACATACCTACATACATACGTACATACATACATACATACATACATACATACACATACATACATACATGCATACACATACATACATACATGCATACATACATACATGCATACATACCTACACACATACATACATACATACATACATACATACATACATACATGCATGCATACATACATACATATATACATACATACATACATACATACATACATGCATGCATGCATGCATGCATGCATGCATACATACATACATACATACATACATACATACATACATACATACATACATATACATACGCACATACACCATGTACCATGGCAAAGAACGGAAGATAAAGGAATAGGCCCGAGGGAGTCAAGTAGCAGGCCAGGGAGGAAGAGGTAAACAGTGTGCGACGTGCGGAAGAAGGAGACGGCGCAATATGACATGCTTCAGTTGGTCTCTACCCCAGTGGAGCTCGCCACAGGACGATACCTTGATATATACATATATATATATACATATAAGCCTAGCACAGGAGGGAATCAAAAGAGAGGGGGACGGCCGCACGGCGGCACGAAGGAGGACCACATCGGAAAAAGCTGTCTCCTCTGGTTCCTCCTCGGTCTCCTCGTCGTGGAGTGCCCTGGGCGCCCAGAGTGGCGTTCAGCGCTCCACGCTGGGTCCACGTCGAGGGCCAGAGAGCACTGCGGGAAGAAATCCTTACCACGGCGTCGGGCGGGCCTCGCCGGGGATCCAACGCTGCCCGGATTGGCCGGCGGACGTCGGCCGATCCTCGGGAGGGTGTCTTCCCCCGCTTTTCCTCCCCATCCCTCCTCCTCCTGCTCCTTTTCCTTCTCAAACCCTTCCTCCTCCTCCTCCTCCTCCTCCTCCTCCTCCTCCTCCTCCTCCTCCTCCTCCTCCTCTTCTTCTTGCGGTCGCTGCGCGTGCTCTGTCATGGTTTTGAACCATGTAACCGTTGCGGGCTGTCTCTTTCCTCTGGCCCTGATTTCATTGGAGTGGTGGCACCTCCTCTTCTCCCCCCTTACGACTGAGAGGGCGTCTTTCTTCCCTTCTTTCCAACTTCCTCCGCCCCCCCTCCCCCTTCTCGAGGGAAGGAGTCCCTCACTCTCTCCATCTTGGTGGATTCGGGGCCATGGCTCTTGGCTTCCGAACAGGCGAGGAGAGAGCGGGAACTTGCCTCCAGACCAGCGTAGATAAGTTTGGAGCGGCTTGTTTTTTTTGTCTGTTTCAGGAAGCGTTCTGGCCGCTTCGCGCACTGTCGTGTTCTGAAGAGAAAAAGGGAAGAGAGAGAAAGAGAGGAGGACGTCGGCAACGAGCGGAAAAGGATGAGGTACATGGAGCAGGATTGATGAGGAGCGAGGAGGAGGAGGAGGTGGAGGAGGAGGAGGGGTTAGAAAAGAGGACGAGGAGTGAGTTAGGAAGAAGAGGTGGAGAAGGACGAGGAGGAGGAGGAACAGGAGAGGGGGAGGAGGACGGGGAGGAGGAGGAAGAGGTGAGAAGGGAGAGGAGAAGTGAGGAGCGGGCGAGCAACAGCATTGAGGAGGGCGGCGGCGCTAGGGGCACCGCGAGCTGCGCCGCGCGGCTATGGGGCCAGACGCGCATGCTTCTCCGTGGCGACAGCTTCCTCGGACCACACAGCAAGACGGGGTCCGAGAAGGTGTGGTCGCAGGATCGCGCCGAATCGCCGATGCATTTGCGATGCGTCTCGATGTGGAGCCCTATTTTATCCACGCCGACGTCGGCGATGCTTCGCCGACGCCGCCACTGCATCTGCAATGCATCGGCGATGCGACACGATCCTCCGACACCGTCTACTCTGACCCTATCTGGGAGGCTTCTGAAAAAAAAGAAGTTATCTTGGACCAGGGTCGGCGAGATCCCGACACAATATGGAATAGCGGTTGCGCGCGTAAATACAGCAGTGGGACAATTGAGGCCAGGATTTGGCAGGCGCTGGCATAGTCTCTTGCGCGTCAAGACCACATGCTGAGATATATGATTACAGGCCTGGGTCTAAACTGTAAAACCAGCAGCGCGGGAGTCACGGCGGGCCCCCAGAGGGAAAGCTTGCACGAATATGTTGCAATCAGCTCGTGTTCGGAATATTGCCTCGACGAGGCTCGGTACCGATCGTTGCAATGTTTCTTGGGGGAGTATTTGCTTCCTTGGGTGATTGGATGGTCTTGGACGCCAGCTAAGGGCCTTTCGGGCCGATGGGGCACGACGTGCGTGAGGTGTGCCGATTTGAAGCTCCAAGGAGCCATCTTGGGGGCCAGTTGGGCGCCCAACATTCACGAAGTACTTGAGGGGTGTGCTGACTTGAAGTTCCCATCAAAATGGAAGGACAACTCACTCGCATTGTTGCGCCTCCCCAGAGCCTCGAGGCCGATACCACTTGTTCCTTCACGTGCCCCAGAAGCTTGAGAGCGCAGATCATTCGTATTTGCACGTGTTCCAGTAGAGTGTGGAGCAGGACATGCGTGAGGGCTGTCTAGAATTGAGCCCTTCGCGGCCCTCGAAGCGCAGGGTGCTTGCATTTTCATGTGTCCCAGGAGAGTGTGGAGCAGAAGATGCAGTGAAGATATGCCGAAATGAGAGCGTCGTAGCCAGAAATGCGTTGACCATTTGTATATGACGCGCCCCAGAAAAATGTCAGCGAGGAAATGCGTGAGGGTGCGCCGAAGCGAGGCTTTCGCAGACCTGCCGCAGCCCTGAGAGCGCATCTCGATCATGTGTTTACGTGTCCCAGGAGCTGACACGCGCGTGGGCCAAGCATTGAGAACACACCTCACTCGTATGTTTACTCGCCCCCGGAAAAATGATATACAGAAAAACGCATCGTCGAAGCATTATCGGCCGTCGGACTGGAAGAAGCCCTCTTAGCATGCCCTTTAAAACATGCATTCCACTTTCCTCCTTCTTCCTCCATCTCATCTTCTACCCGACGAGCCACCAACACGGCGTGGGCCCGCAGGGGGGCCGCCGAACTCAATCGTTTTGCTCCCTCTGTTGGCCCACACTGTATGATCGCTGGCGCTTGCCTGTGCCCCCGCGGGGGCTGAGAAGATGGTGTCTGGCGGGCGAGCTGTAGCGCGAACCTCGCCTGGGGGAGAGCAACTGCAAGGCAGCGCACAACGGAGCACGCCACCACCGAAGCTCCGCCAGGGCATCCCGCCACCGTGCGTGGGTCGTGGGTCAGCGGCGTGCTGGTTGCCTCTCGGGCTGCGTTGGGGTGCCTCTCGGAGGCCTCTTGGAGGCGTGCTGCGGGCCTCCTGGGGGCTTCTTGGGCGGTCTTGGAGCGCCACTGCGGGCCTTGTGGGATTGTGTTGGAACGATATCGGTGGCCTCCTGGGCTGTCGGAAGCGCGGGAAAGCGAGACCGCTAAAGTTTGCCAAACGCCTCCAGACAATCAATGGTGGTTTGCGCATTGGGGCCGTCCTAGGCCGTTTTTGGGGGGGCTCCTTGGCCCAGGCGCCTTTGGGGCTGTATTGAAGGTCCCGAAGTCCGCGCCAGGGAGTGGAGTGCTGACATCTATGGCCCGATCTTGCCAGGACCTTGATGGGACGTACTTGGTGTACTCTTCCTCCACGGACCACAAGGGCCGCCCCGCGCGCGCGAACCAGCAATATACAAGTACTCTGAACCTCCCACTAGAGATTATAGTGTGGCGTTGGCCCGCTGGGCATGCGAAAACGATTACCAAGATTCGAGGCCAAAGGGACTCGGTCATCCCGCCGCTGGGCGATGCCCCAACAGCCGTTATTGCTAGAATTATATGGGTGGGGCTGTTCGGGGCTGACACCGTTTCGGTGTCCCATTGTCTTGTGAAATGTCAAAGAGACTGTCGTTACGCCGCTGCAGCCTGGCGAAGGGTCCAATCCAAAGGAGCTGCGTGTAGCGCAGGGTGTGGCCCTCTCTTCATGAGGGCCCTCCAGAAAAGGCCTCGCCCTTGAGGGTTCGGGAGGTTGGGTCTTAGGTTGGCATCTCTTCCTCGGCGGCCGCAAGCGAAAGTACAAATCCTCCCCCAATGAGGTGCACACTTCTTGATGCTCCTGGTTTCTAGAGAGGGCCATGTATGGCGTACCGTGGGAGGGAGGGGGGTGGGGCTCACTCTGGGGCACGATCCGCAGGAGTGGTGCCGAAAAATGAGCGGGGGGCACATGCGGGCGCGTCCACTAAAGCCGCAGGTGGAAGTCCCAAATCATGGGCACGATCCGCGGGAGGGCTGTGCCGTAATGAGCGGGGGGCGCAGGCGGGCGCGCCCATTCGGGTTGTAGGTGGAGCTCCCCTCACGATCCACATGAGGGGTGTGCCGAAATTGGCATGCAGGCAACATCATGAGCAGCAGCGACGGAAAGAGGAAGGGGTGATGGGGCGGGAGTAGGAAGAAGGAGGAGGAGACGCGCGAAAGAGCGGAGACGACACCATCGGAAAGCTTGCAAGACATGTGCCCGCAAGGGATCGTCCGCTTGCCAAGTGGACTCTTGGCAACGTCCAATCCCAAAATAGGTCAAACGCCTTCCGACTTCATCGGTGGAGGATGTTTCCAGCACCAGTGATTTCTCGTGTGGGCCAAGTCTTGACGCGTTCACAAAGCGTTCTTAACCATTGTACCCAAACTCTTCATCAGATCGGCCTGGAAACTGCTTGATCTCAAAGATGATACACAACCATACGTTTGAAGATCGAAAGACGTGGCGAAGGCGTCGGATTGCGGAAGTCGGGAAGTGCAAAAGTTAAGGCTTGGCGACGCCCCATCTCTGGCACAATGCAAATGGTCGAATTCTGTCGCTCGATGTAGGCACTGCCGTTGTCACCGAGAGGTGACTGTGTGTGCGCCTGCATGGGCTCCCTCCCGTCTCTCGTCTCTTAGCGTTCGCCCCGCTTCTGCTCCTTCCTCCTGCATGAGTATGGTGTACGTCCTGGGCCGTCTTTTCCTGCATGACCGGTTTCGATCCACCCCCTGCCTGGGGATGCTACGGCCGTTTTTTTAGAGCGCACTGGTCACACTTGCTCATGCGATCTGGCACTTGCCTGCCAAGAGTTGCCGATCGGCGGCGAGCTTGGGGGGGAAGCGACACGGTTCGGGAGTCCCCTGGCCTTCGGAGAAGATCTTGAAGCCTTCCCCGAAGGCCTCTTGAGAAGCCCCGCCTCCCTCTGAGGAGGCCTGCTCCCTCTCACTCCCCCCCCGTCGCTCGCCGCCGAGCCGACGCCCGAGCGCTGCTCTTGTCCGGCACGCCGAGCGGGCGCGCGCGCGCGCGCCGCCCCGCGGCCCCACGGCCGCCGCGCCGCCGCAGGGCCGCCGCCTCGCCTCGCCGCCACCGCTCGACGCTCGCCGTCGTCGTCGCCGTCGGCGTCGTCGTCGTCGTCGTCGTCGCCGTCGTCGTCGTCGTCGTCGTCGTCGTCGTCGTCGTCGTCGTCGTCCCACCGCTGGTGCCCCACCGCGGCGCCGACTCGGCCGGGCACCGCCAGCGGCTGCGCGGCGCGGCGAGCCGCCAGAGCGCCGAACTCTGCGGCGCGATTCCCCCTCGCAGCGCAGGTCCCCGGAGAGAGGAGCAGTGCCTGCCCGGGCGCTGGCAAGCGCTCCTCCCTCGTCCTCCTGCTAATCCTCCTCATCCTCCTCCGCCTCCTCCTCCATTCCTGTTCCTTTAAAACACCTCCTCCTTGTCGCACTCCGAGGCCGGTCGAAAGGGCGGGCCGAGCGTTTCGTTTCGACTGAGACTTACTCACCACTTACGACCTTGATGCTTAAAAGTTTGCAGCAGCTTCACAGATGGAGGGCGGGTGGTTTTCAAAAGCATTAGCGCCGCGCACATTCGTTTTTCAAGAATGGCAGGAGCTTCACATATTGAGGGTGAGTATGTGGTTCTCGCTTTAGCGCCGCGCACATTCGTTTTTTAATATGCAAGAGCTTCACGGATCTATTGCGGGTCGTTTTCCATATGTGATTATCGCCTGGGCGCCGCGCATGTTCGTATTATTTAGTTGCTAGAGTTTCACGGGTTGAGGGAGGTTCGTTTTCTAAATGTGTTTCTCGTTTTAGCACCGCGCACATTCGTTATTCAAAGTTGCAGACGCTTCTCGAAGTGAGGGCGGATCGTTTTCAAAATGCGGTTCTCGCCTCAGCGCCCCGCACATTCGTTTCCACAGAATTGCAAGAACTTCACGGATTGAGGGCGGGCCGTTTTCAAAATGTGGTTCTCGCCCTAGCGCCGCGCGCATCCGTGTCAAACAGTTGCAAGAGTTCACTGCTTCTCATGGTTAACGTACCAGACATGATGTTTTGGAACGATTCAGGACTGTCAGGGCGCCACAGTTACGTTGATTCGCGATGCTGAAGTGTTAGGATTGGCTTTCTGGTTCGATTCAGGATCGCCAAGACGTAACAGTCAGGTTAAGTCGTGTCGTCGAAGTCCAGAGAATGGCGTTTCTGTAAGCTTCAAGATGTCCACGGTTGTCTCCCAACAAAGCAATTCCCTCAGTGGTAATGACCCCTCGTAGGGGCTTGCGACGGGGGATCTTGGAGGAAGGATGTATTCCAGCATCGTTGATAAGTCTTGGGTTTACATTGGCCCTCCTCCTCATCATCCTCCGGTCCCAATGTCACGCCCTCGTTGTCCTCATTCAGCAAGTCGTGCCCACAGCGCCCCATGGGTTGCCCGCAGTACTGAGGGGCCCCTGTTCTTCCACATACATCGGGGGAGGCACTGGTCGACTTTGAGTGAATCTGGCGCGCATTCCAACCGCCTCTGCCTGTGCCTTCTCTTTCTCCTCCTCCTCCTCCTCCTCCATCCCTTTTCCTCAATGTCGCAAAAAGAGACCCTAGACGTGTCGGTTGGGCGGGCTGGGCGTTTCGCTTGAGATTTCCGCACGATGTGTGATCTTGAAGTTTGTAATGTGCAACGGTTTCACGGATGGTGGGTGGGTCCTTTTCCAAAAGGTGGTTCTCGCCCTAGCGCCGCGAACAAAGTGCGCAACAGCTTCAAGGATGGAGGGCGGGTGGTTTTCAAATTGTCGCTTTTCCTTCTGCACCGCGCACTGTCGTTTTCAAAATGTGCAACAGCTTGAAGGATGAGGGCGGGTGCTTTTCAAAATGTCGCTCTCACTTCAGCGCCGCGCACATTCGTTTCCAAAGTGACCCAATGTTTCAAGGTCGGGGGGTGGGTTCAAAGTGTTGCTCTCGCCTTCGAACCGCGCACTGAACAGTTCGCAACAATACTAAGGAATCCGAGGGTTGAAGTTCAAGGATTGGTGTTTTGGCACGGTTTCGGATTGTCAGGACGCAACAGTCATTCTGATTCGCGGTGTCGAAGTCCCATGAAAAAATGTTGGCATGTCTTAGACTTGCTAGGACGCAATAGTCACGTTGATTCTCGGCGTGAAAGTCTCAGGAATGGAGTTTTGGCACGATTGGGGATTCTCAGACGGTTGTCCTTCAATGGGGCGCTTCCCGCAAAGAAATTCCTTCGCCTGGGGACCTATGAAGAGGGAACTTAGAGGGAGGGCTCATCGCAGCATCGTTGATGCGTCTTGGGTTTACACTGGTCTCCTCCTTCTCCCCCCCCTCATCCTCCTCCCCCGTCTCCTCCCGGCAGGTTGTTGGCACCCAGACGGACAGCCCTGACGTGATGCAGGTCGAGATCTCGAAGCGGCTCGCGTGGGCGAGGGCGCAGCGGCAGGAGACCTTGCACCAGGCGTCCTGGTCTCCTCGTCCGTCCTTGCAGCATCGTCTCTGGTCCGTGCAGCAGTCGGCGAGGGCATCGTGGAAGGTGAGCAAATACAGGGCATGCTGTTGCACGAAGCAGCAGAAGGCAACCGCACGGTGTTGCAGGAGGCGGCGGCGGCAGCAGCAGCTAAAGGGCAGGATAGGCGGACAAACAGCAGCAGCAGCAGCAGCAGCAGCAGCAGACGTGGCATCGTTGAAGGTGGCGGGGGGAGGAGGAGCTTCGAGGATCGAGCCTTGATATGTTTTCCGCCCTTTGGGAGCCCTCTGGGAGACCTCTCGTCGCCAGAGCTGGATGACCACCAAAATCTTGGCCAGAACGCATCCTTGGAAAGGTATAGGTGACGATTTATCAGGGGACAGGTATAAGGAGAAGAGGAGAAGAGGAGAAGAGGAGGCTGAAGGCTGAACGCTGAAGGCTAACGGCTGAAGGCTGAAGGCTGAAGGCCGAGGGCATGGAGCGCGGTCCAATCCGCGCTCCGCGCCAATCCCGCAGCGCGCCGACCGCCCAGCTGGGCGCCCGCAGCGGAACACGGTCGGGTCTCAGTGGCGAGGGAGGGGGATGGGAAGGGGCCGAGGGATGGGAGAGGAGGCCGGGGGCCAGGGAGGGGACAAGGGAGGGGAAGAGGGGGAGAGGGAGGGAGAGGTGGGAAGGGCGGGAGGGGGAAGGACGGGAGGGAGGGAGGCAGGAGGGGACGGAGGGACGGACGGAGAGCTCGAGGAGGAGGAGGGGGAGGAGGAGAGACAGGAGGAGGAGGACGAGGAGGAAGCCATCTGCGCCCGCGAGGGTGATGCGCAGCTCGCTGCCGCAGAAAGGGGAGGAGGCGGAGGCGGAGGACGGGCGAGGACCGAGACATCCGACGCTGTGATCGTTCCCACCTGCGGCTCCAGATGAATAGATGACAACGTGTATGATATGCTAAGAAAACATCATGCAAGAACAAGTGGACGAGATAGAGTGGAGGTCCCGACCGTTCCCCGAGGGCCAGTGTTCCCGCTTCCCTGGATGTGTTTTGCGGTGGCCCCCCGGCCCGACCACGGCCTCCGGACGCCGAAGTTGTTGGGAGAGCGCGTCGCGGCGGACCGGAAGCCACGTCCCCGGAGGTCTGCCCAGGCACGCGACGCCCTGGCTTCTGCTGCCCAGGGCCGGCTCCTCCTCCACCTCCACCTCCTCCTCCTCCCCCACCTGTTCCTCCTCCTCCTCCACCTCCTCCTCCTGCCCTCTCCTCCTCCTCCCCTCCTCCTCCTCCTCCTCCTCCCCTCCTCCTCCTTCCTCCTCCTCCTCCTCCTCCTCCTATTCCTCTTATTCCTCCTATTCCTCCTCCTCCTCCTCCTCCTCCTCCTCCTCCTCCTCCTCCTCCTCCTCCTCCTCCTCCTCCTCCTCCTCCTCCTCCTCCTCCTCCTCCGTCTTGCTGGTCCCGGGGCCCGGCGGGTGCCCCGGAGGCCCAGGGCTGCCATAAAAGCCGTCTGCCATGGGCTATAGAGGCCTCCCGGGTGGGGTCGGAGCAGATGGGGCCGGAGGATCGAGGCGCATCGCCGGTGCATCGCCGAGGTGGCTCGCTGTGGGGCCCGATCTGCTCCACGGCGACGTCGCCGATGCACCGCCGACGTCGACGATGCCTCGCAGGTGCATCACCGACGGAGAGAGGCCGGTCGCGCCCCCGTGCAGCCCTCGCTCTGGGCGCGGGCGCCCGCCGCCTCGACGCTTCTTGGGGGGCCCTTGGAGATCCGACGCAGCGAGAAGAAGTGCAGCGTCGCAAAACCTCCTCCTCCTCCCTCCTCCTCCTCCTCCTCCTCCTCCTCCTCCTCCTCCTCCTCCTCCTCCTCCTCCTCCTCCCTCCTCCTCCTCCTCCTCCTCCTCCTCCTCCTCCTCCTCCTCCTCCTCCTCCTCCTCCTCCTCTTCCTTCTCTTCCTTCTCTTCCTCCTCCACCTCCTCCACAGTGCAGCGTCGCAAAAGGCCTCGGCCGCAGCCCTGGACCCTGCGGTCGGGAGCCGCCAAGAGGGGGGTGAGTGCTTGGGGGGGGGGGGGAATATCATGGTGGGGGCCATGACATCTCCCCAGAGTTCATGGATGGCGCCTCTTCTTATTTCATGGCGTCCCTGGCCGCCCCCATGGAGCCGCGCACATGCCACCGGTCATGATTTGCGCCCCCCCTCTTGGACGCCCCCCTCTTGGACGCCCCCTGGCACGGTCGGGAACTTCCGGACAGCGCGTCGCGCCGCCGCTTCTGACCCACCGCGCCTTCGGCGCGACGCGCTCTCTCAGCTCTTTTGGGTCACAGCCGTCGTCGCCCCCACGCCTCTCCGAGCCCCACGCCCCACGGCGCGGAGCGACGCGCTCTCCGCTCGCATGGCATGGCATGTCGCCAGGGGCCGCCGCCGCGACACGCGACTCGGAAGTTCCCGACCGTATGGATGCGACGTCGCGGAAACACGCCACGTCGCTAAAGGCCTCGACCGAAGCCTTGGACCTTACTCGGGCGAAGAGAACTATGCACATGCACCGATCTTGGCCCGGCCCATCCTGGGCCCAGGATCGGTCCATGTGCCCTCCTGGCCAAGGCAGGATGGCGTATGCACCGATCCTGGGCTCAGGGTGGGCCTGACCAGAATCGGTGTATGTGCATAGTTATTTTTCCTCTACTTACAGTGGACCCGCACAGCAAGGGTGGGCAGCCTTCCTAAGGATACCCGTGCATCCTTAGCCTCCTCGGCCCATCCTTGGCCGCTTTCGTCGGCCGCGCCCCGCGCGAGAAGCTTCGACGTGGGCGGCCAAGGCCCTTGCATCCTCGTCGCGCACCCTTGAGACACTGGCCGACTCTCTATCTCCCCGTGAAGACCCCCGGGCGCGACCGATCTGTGAGTGTATCCTGTGGGGCCCGAAGCGGTGCAGAGTCGCCCGCTCCGCTGCGGAGAAGTTGCGACGCCAGGACCTCGGGGGATTGTTTTGGACTGCGCTCTGATTCGCCGAGGAGGCGGTCAGCCTAGTGCGGCACTCACTAGCTGCTGGCAGAAACACGCGGCATCCAGCAGCACGGGCGCCAAGGTGTCAATGCTCCACCCGGCGAGGTGGATCTCGGGGGACGGTGGGAGGGCGGGCGCCGCCGCGCCCGACCTCGCTCCGGACCAGCCTCTGGACGGCAGGGGCCCCCATGTCGGCTCTCGGGCCGCAGCTCGGGCTGCCGGCGGTCGCTCGGGCGGACCCGGGCGCCCCCGGGACGCCCCCGGCGAGGCGCAGCCATTGAAGAGCACCGCGTGGCTGTGCAATCCCCAGGGACCGACCGAGACGTCCGACGCCTAAGGCCAGCGTGCCCTCGTGCGCAGGGCCCCCTTCTTCACTTCAGACCTCGACGACAACGGCTATGGCGACGGCGACGATGGTGGCGACGGCGCCAGCGACGACGATGGCGGCGACGACGACGGCGACGGGGATCGGCCTGGGCCGCCCTTCGTGGGGCAGCCGCGCGCGGCTGCTCGCGGGGGCGGCCGCTTGCAAGAATGCTCTCGTGCCCCTCCATCCTCCTCCTCCTCTTCCTCCTCCTTCTGCTCCTCCTCCTCCTCCATCCTCCTCCCCTTCCTCTTCCTCCTCGTTCTCCTCCTCCTCCTCCTCCTTCTCCTCCCCTCCTCCTCCTTCTCCTCCTCCTCCTCCTCCTCCTCTTCTCCTCCTCCTTCTTCTCCTCCTCCTCACCTCCTCCTCCTCCTCCTTCTCCTCCTCCTCCTCCCCCTGCTCCTCCTCATCCTCCTCCTCCTCCTCCTCCTCCTCTCCTTCTCCCCCTCCCCCTCCTCCTCCTCCCCCTCCCCCTCCCCCTCCCCCTCCTCCTCCTCCTCCTCCTCCTCCTCCTCCTCCTCCTCCTCAGCAGCAGCAGCAGCAGCAGCAGCAGCAGCATCATCATCATCATCATCATCATCATCATCTCATCATCATCATCGCCTTCCTCCTCCTCCTCCCCCTCTCCCTCCCCTTCCACCTTCCCCCTCCCATTCCCCCTCGTCCTCATCCTCCTCCTCCTTATCCTCCTCCGTTTGACGGTGATCGGACATGAAGCGCAGAGTTTGTTGCGTCTGTGACGCAAGGAGAAAAACAAGTCGCCGACTTTGGCGAAGAAACAAACAAGTTAGGCTGGAGTGGCGAGCGCTGCGAGAAAAGAAGTGCATTTAAGACAGGCTGCAGAAACAGGCCCTCAGGGGCGCAGAGTAAGCGCTCGCCACCAGCACTGGGGGAGATGTCGACGAAGAGATAAGGAGAGACAGGCGAAGACCAGGATCATCATACCCGATGCCCAGAGGAGGAAGCCGAACAGAGTGATCGAAACACGCTTGCAAATGCTGGCCTGCATTTATCTCCAGTGGTGGCAGGCAGCCAGTGTAAAGTGAGGCTCGTCCCCTCCCGCCTGCCATCCCCCCCTACTCGATCCGACTCTCAAGTCAAGGATGGCGGCGGTTCGAGCTAGAAAGAAGCAATAACATGTGGTACGGGCGGCGCCAAGCTTCAAGTGGAATAGGATGTGACGCGGGAGGTAAAGAAAGCCAGGCTTCACTGTACAGTTGCCCACAAGTTGGTATGAGGTTGGCCAGGTAGGTAGTGGCTGGTTTGTGTGTCGTAGAATATAGAGAGACAATATAAGAGGAGCATAAGAGCTGGGACACCGAAAGTTAAATCAGATGAGGGCGGCCGTGAATCGGAAGAAAGATTGATGAGTAAAACACGAACGACAGGCCACCGCCGGTGGCATAATGCCCCCTCTATTGAGGTACGTGTCCTTTCCCCACCCCAGACACTCCCCAGCCCCGCAGTCCTCCCGCCCCCCATCAGCGCGAAGCAAAAATGTGGCACGGGGCAATATGGTGGCGTCCACGCGTCGCTGACTTGTGAGGTTGGCTCTGTAATAGGCTGGCCTATAGCTTTCGAGTTTTTAAGGTAAACAGATCGTGCCTCGATGGCTTGAGTTTTGCCAGATCGTACCGGCTAGC